AGTAATTTTTTGTGATAAAACGTTAACAATTGGTGAATCTAAGTGAAGAAAATACTTTTATTTGTTAGACTGTCTTTGTCCTTTTAATTTTGCCGAATTGGAACATGCTCAAAATAAATAGTTGGGGAAAAAGAGAGGGTGTGTGCATTTGAAAAGTGTATTGTTTAAGGAGGTGGGCATTATGACCGGGCACGGTGGCTTATGCCTGTAATCCCAGCAGTTTAGGGGGCCAAGGCAAGAGGATTGCTTGAACTAAGGAATTGGAGAGGAGAGCAGCCTGGGCAACAAGGCAAAACACCGTCTCTACAAAAAATACAGACTTTAGCCAGGCATGGTGGTACACATCTGTAGTCCCAGCTACTCAAGAGGCTGAGGTTGGAGGATGGCCTGAACCCGGGAGGCGGAGGTTGGACAGGGAGCTGAGATTGAGCCACTGCACTCCAGCCTGGGTAATAGAGCGAGATGAACCTCTAGGGTCTGTGAGTAAGTTTTTGTCCATGTAACACGAAATAGGAAAAATACAGACACCAGAATAAATTTTTCATGAAAATAAATGTGTCTAAGGGACTATTCTTTATAATAAGTATATCCTCACTATTTTATCTTTGTGCCTAAAGGCACTTTTTGGCAACAGTGGTTCGTACTAGTAATATTTTCTTTTTAAACAAGTCTATAGAATCTGAATGTGAGGAGAGTGCACTGGATTAAAGCAGTGTGATTCAGTTCATTCATTCAAACACATACTTCTGGAAGGCCCATTATAAGCCAAGCCTTCTGTGGGCTCGGTGGATCTAGAGGTGAACAAGACAGAAATCCTGGCTTAGGTTTTCCACCCAAGAGATGTTCATTTTGTCTTCCCCAATGTTGACCAGGGGCAGCGGGATAGGGAGGGATATGTAAAGGAAATCTTTTGAGTCACTCTCTAGGCATCCCTCTGTATCACCCAGACTTATCCTGTATAGTCCTATTTATCTATCATGTATTTTTGACGCACTGCTTAAGATGTTTCAAAATGTGTTGTACTATATATTACATGAAAACAATTTTCATCTCATTAAAATAAAAAAAACAAAAAAAATTTTTCATGTTAAAGGATGCTATAGTAAATTTGTTGGCCATTAGGTTATAAACAGAATTTATCTCTGCCTACATACCTCCTCTTTCTATTCTAAACTCATTTTTAAAAATAAACATACTTGACGAGGTAACTCTGTAGTTGAAATTCTGGTAGGTTTGCTGCTTTTTCTTCTGGAGACTGAGGGAAGACTGATGACACAGTGGTCAAAAGGCCCCTCTGCCAGTTTTTTGGCCAGCAAAAAGAAAATACAAAAAAGCAAAAAACAAACCCGTTTTTGCTTAGAGAGAAACCCTTCACTTCCTCATTTTTCTAACTGGCTTTTTTCCCCTTCACCCACTCAGTCCAGTTTTGACCACTGTATCTCCATCTCTGTTCTGTATTAAAAGGAGGTCTAAAATAACTGGCAAAACGTTTGTGTTTTTCTGATAGAGTGAATTCTATTAAGGTTAATATTAATATTTTTTAAAAACATTCCTTATGTGTGAGGTTCATGATAAAGAGCATGGAGAGGGAGGTTGTGGCACTGGGTGTTTTATTTAATTTGAATTCTTGGGCTCTGGAAAACAGTAGCTCCTGAATGTCAGGAAGTCAGCTATTTTGTAACACTTCCATGGGGCAGCACTCATGCTTATCAAACACTTCCACATGCAGAGCAACTCTGAGTTACTTTAAGAGATTAAGGTTTCTTTCCGTGTGTTAGAGTTGGTCACTTTCCGCCCCCAGGCTGTTAACGATCTGGTTGGCACCTTTGTCATTGTTATCCATCAGGAGGTAGCAAAGGTGGTGGAAGTATATGGTCATTCACATAAGCTCCTATTAGAGTATCTGCAGAGTAGTAAGTCCAGATAATCGGTCATTACCATGACCAGAGTGATTTATTTAAGTATTCCTAAGTAAACTTTTTGGGGTATTCCTAAGAGATTACAAAAATTACTCACAAATGCCAAATACGTGTGTTCTTAATAAGAGCCACCTGATAACATGTTAGAATCTTTGCCAGTGTACACTGGAACACACACACTAGGAGTGCAAGAGGTTTTCTGTCTTACTGCTGGACCCACCCCTCTCTCCAAGAATGCCTGACACACAGTAGGTGCTTGGTAGCATTTGTTGAATCTTGGGTAATACAAGGCATCACAAATAATGTAATAGCATCATTTGACCCCTACTAACAGTCTCACTTTCTCCAGAGGTACTCTCATAATTTCAGTTGGACACTTCCTGTTTGTTTTTTGTGTTCAAACATACATGTATTCATGAACAGTGTTTAGTATTGTATGTTTTCAAGTTTACATAAATGGCATCATACCACGTGTATCTTTTTTGAAACTTGCTTTTTTTCACTCAGTATTGTATTTTGAGATTTATTCATGTTGTTACGTGTAGTTTTAATTTTTAAACTGATTTTCTGTCATTTAAATATACTTCATTTTAGTGTCACATAAAACACCATGGAATACTTTGCAGCCATAAAAAAGGATGAATTCATGTCCTTTGCGGGGACATGGATGAAACTGGAAACCATCATTCTCAGCAAACTAACACAAGAACAGAAAACCAAACACTGCGTGTTCTCACTCATAAGTGCATGTTGAACAATGATAACACACTGACACAAGGAGGGGAACATCACACACTGGGGCCTGGGGGGTGGGGCACTAGGGGAGGAATAGCAGGGGGTTGGGGGATTGGGGAGGGATAGCATTAGGAGAAATACCTAATGTAGATGACAGGGTGATGGATGCAGCAAACCACCATGGCACAAGTATGCTTATGTAACCGGTACTTTCTGCACATGTACCCCAGAACTTATATAGTAAATAAATTATATATATGCGTGCCTCATTTTAGTTATTCATTCCTCTACTGATTGACTTTTCAATTGTTGTCACTCTTTTGCTTTTATAAATCTACTTCTTAGTAATGGTCCCCCTCCTTACTACTCTGTCTTTGGGAATAAAGGAATTTTTAAAATAATATTAACCTCTCATAATCACAGCCAATTTTTGAAGCACTGGGAGGTCACTGATTGTCACTGTTTTCCAGGCACTGTGCTAAGCACTTTATTATCTTATTTAATCCTCACGTTTTATTTTACAAACTAGAAAACTGGAAGGCGACTTTGCAAAACCATCGGTCAAAGTCCCATAACCCAGTAAGTGGCAGGTTCAGGATTCAAGCCCAGTTCTTGGATGCCAAAGCCATGAGCATGAGACACACTCCTTCCCTCATCCTGACGGGAGGATGTTGAAGTCACTGTAGCCTAAATGAGTTCCAAAAAGTAGACAACAGTAGTGGAATGAACTAATGATCTTCATTCTGTCAAAAAGTTGAAATGCCTGTTGCCATGCTTTTCCACAGGAACATCTTTTGCTTGCCTGTCATTTTAGGAGTTGAACCAATTGAAAGGTTCTTCACCATCACTTACTATGATCTTTAGGTGGATAATTGGGACAGACTACTTGTCTTGTAGAATTAACCTTTCACGAAGGGAAGGAAAGTAAAAAGTCATCTATGGGCTTAAGCATCTGCTGTAACGCTCTTATGTATGTATTCATATTGTGCCTTTAAGAAAGCTTCTGAGGGGATGTGTGTGAGGAGAGGGCAGGAGCTTTTGTTTTGGGCAATTAAAGAAAAAAATATATATTTTTACTTTTTCTCCTTTCATCCAGCAGGGATGTTTTCATGCTAATTTGATGGGTCATAGAATGAGTTATATTTGAAGTAAATTGTCTAATCAAGTATGAAATCGGAAATGTGAAGAATGAGAAGTTTTGAGGACTTTGCCAATGGAAGCCTTTCTGATAGGCACATAATATTGTTGCTAGTGGTGGTGATGGTTATGGGGAACGCTTTTTACTTATGTGCTGCCTTTACTTTATATAGGCACAAATCATTTACAATCACAAAATGAGGAACCCTATATTTCCTTTGCATTTTATATTGAAAATGATTGACATGAAAAATAAAGAACTTGGGGGAAAAAAAAGCCCCCGCTCCAGGTGGATGGAGTAGCTGGCCTTCTTCAGGAGGTTTGGAAAGGATTCCTCAACCCCTGATACTTTGTTTTCACAAATACTGACATTCTACAACTGGACTTCTTTGTTTTTAAAAATTATTTTATAAATGTACAGAATAAGAAGAGGATGTCCTGGCAGAATTTAATGATGACCAACGGAGTTTTAGAAATCATTTAGAATTTTTTTTTTCAGCTAAGGTGAATAGAGAAGGAAAGAAAATTTAAAAAGAAAAAAATTATTTAGAGATGTAATGTAAAATGTAAGGTGACCTAAATTCCCAATAAGTTATAAGGTATCATCAATATTGAATTACGCTGTGGGTAGGTAACTTATGCTGAATCCTGGCATTAGATCTTTTCCTGAAAAGTTTTAATGACTGAAGAGGCAAAGAATTCAAAGCTGCTGCTTCTAAAATGCATTGGGAGCACAGAGTGATGTAAACGGCCCCAGAAGAGATGCCTGTGCACACCCGCAGGTACATTGTCCGCACTTAGTTCTCGATACTGGTCCTGTGGTCCAAGAGCCAAGACTTGCATGGGGTTCTTAATAACCGTCCGCTGATAAAGTCATTATTCCCCAAATGAGATTAATGTCTTGTGGGGCTGGTAAATACCACTTTTCACACACCTAACAAAAGAAATAATATCTGTAGGTTAGGAGTTTCTGAAAATTTTCAAGCTGTAATTGTGCTTCTGCTTATAAAAAGCTGGATTGGATGTCTTAAGCCATTAATATGTTAGCCTCATTCCTGCCTTATTCCTCTGCTGTGAAGGCTTTTTATGTGCTTTAGCTTCTCTGTTCCTTTCCTTGTGAGTGATATCCCTCTCCCGCCCTTTTCTAGTAATGCTGTTGCTTTATCTCTCTTCCATTCATATTTTTTTCTTTCTTTTTGCTGCATGGAGACTCTCTGCTGTACCAGTGTAAGTATTTTTCGGTGGCTCTGCAGTTTCTGGCTGTACTACTTTATATTCTTGTGCTCCATTTGCTTCTGTGCTGCCTGGCTAGTCTCCCAGGAGACTGTAGTGTCGTCGTCCATCTGCAGATCCTGAATGAAATAGGCAACAATTTAGAGACAAGATTGGATTTTACAAGATGGTTCAGCTAGCACAACAGGCAATGAATTTAAAATATCTCCAGCCATGTGCCTGAAAGCAAGCAGAGTGTTGATGAAGAGGATACAAACATTCAGGAGGAGACAAGTGCTTATTCCACTCATGTAATAATAATAAAGACATGATTGCTTTTAAGGTTTTTTCTTGATTCTTGTCGTATTACTTGTTTGGGGCCCAGGGTTGTAGAAAATCCACATTATGATTTGCTTCTTATATTGGAAGAACTTTCCTAATCTTTTTCTCAACTGCTTTTGTTATTATTTATTTTTCTTTCTACAGCCTTGGTGGTGAGGGGGAGGTAATTATTACATTCCTGAGTTTGGAGCAAGAGTGTTATTTATTTATTATTATTTGTGCCTAATTGGCAAAAACAAAGCACCGCTTTTTATTTCTATAGTGACATAAACAATTTGACTCTCATTTTTTTTTTTAATGTATGTCTAGTAATTACATGTTAAAAGTGGGTTTGACAGGAAAAAAAATATTACGTTGTTTTAAGGTTCCAGGATGAGTCTTTAACTTGTGGTAAAAGTAGACATATCTCAGTTGAGCTGTATACAGAATCGTTTAAAATTCATTATAAAAATTTGATTAAATGAGTACAATTTCAGAGTAGTGGAGACGTTGATGCTGCTTTTAGATTCTCAGAAAGTAGAGCTATGTTTCTGTTCACGGTGTCTGCCACAGTGGGGATGTATTGATGATTTGTGATGTTAGGACAAGAAAGAAGTCTGTGCTTAAGATTTTCCCTCTAAAGTTACCTTTAAAACAAAAGTTTTACATATTTTTCCTCATATTTCTTTGGGATATGGGCATTGAAAATTATACCTTATTGTTTACAAGATGCATTTTTTAAGATAAGTTAGTTTTGTCTAGGCCTCAAGTTGACCGGGTTAACCGTTGATTGATGAGAGGTCCATTTGCAGTGTGTACCTCTTCTTTTTCCAATGCCGACCCCTTCATCTGATGGACACTTTGTGATTTCCCTGACTAAGAAAGTACCTAGGCATTAACAAATGTCAGGGGAAGGTCAATAAGGACTAAGGAACAGTCTGAAAAAATTCATCCTTCCATTTTGGTACAAAAAGAGAAGAAAGCTAACAGTGTTAAAGAAGATGGTAAAGTTAGATTTTTTTTCTTTTTCTGGGATGTAATTCATCAACCCAACAGTTGTGGAGAGAAGGAGGAAGGAGTGCGAATAAACCAGATTTCCAGAAAAACATTAAATATTTTCTCCTAAATATACACTTAGGTGGATAATTATAGTACATTTTATATTTCCTCTTGCTTTAGGTTTATATGTAAAGGCATTGTAGAAATGAGCCAATAAGATTAAGGCAGTTCACATTTTCTGTAAAACTAAGGAAGAATTACTTCCAAAGAAAACTAAGAAAAATAAGAGAGAAATAAGATTTATTTATTTATTTATTGTCTTTGTTGTTATACTTAAATACCATAAGGGAAAGATACAGAAACTGGGTTGCTGTCTTAATATCAGTTGCAGAAACTAGCCTGATTGCAAGTTCTATTCTAGCAAAACTCCACTGGCTCTTTGGGAAGACTTCAAAACTAAAAGACAGGATAAGTATAGTTTTATGAGAAATGTAATTAGAAGCTATTTGCCCTCGTAAAAAGCACACAAAGTAAAGAAGGCAGTGAAATATATTAGAGTGAGTTTTTCTGATAGTCAAACTTTCTATCCTGGGCTTTGGAGCATTGGAAAATAGGACCAAGAGGAGAAGGCTAGCTCCCCTTTGAGTGATAGCAACTGTCACAATATCCTGATGATTTTGTGTGTTTCTTAATTATATCTATGAAATTAAATTGAGCTGAATGACCTAGTCACAGATGGACATCAGTTTGTAAATGTGATTCTTTCTGTATATATGTTATATTGTTATATTATTTCTTTTACATATAGTACATATTTTTATGTTTAAAATTATAATTTTATATTTTATATAATTGTAATATATTTGAAATGTCATAATTTTTGTATATTTTACATGTATTTGCTATCTATTATAAAGGCTTTCATGATAGGGAAACTTAAACCAGACTATTTTTGCCCATGAATATGCTTTCTGTAAAATCTAATCAAGAGTCAGGGGGAAAAAAAAAGACATCTTCAGTCCATGCATTTTTAAACATCTTTTCTCTTTATCTGTGACTATCTAAATGAAATTGGGTAAAAGTTACATCTGAAGCTGCTTCTTGATTATTTTGTCTAGCATGGTTGTGCAAAAGATGGATAGAATACTGAAGAACTTGTTGCTACCGAACACAGCGTATATTTTGATAGCTTGTATCTCCAGAGAATTAATTATTTTCAGAAATTTTACTTGTGAATAGACCAGGCAGGGAACTACCTTCTTCAGCCAACTGCAAGGCTAACTTTGAGGAGAACTGCCTTCAGTCTGGATTCCTTTCCAGTTGCATGGAGTTAGCTGAGTTTTTACTAAACCTGCAAAGCCAGTTACTTCATAAATAGATAGTCCTCAGATTGTCTGCCTTAACAAATCCTTGAAGAAAGCTAAATCAGCCATTTTCATTTTGTATGTCGGGAAAACCAGTCTGAATTTCAGTATAATTGCTCATCATTTTTTTTCCTCTCCCTTTTCTCTCAATGATAAATAATGGCAAAATGATATTATTAAAACTGGCATAATTGTCAAAACTATAGATTTGTTTGCTTTAAATATCAGTATCAGCCAGTTTCTTCTTGGAGCTAAAGAATGTTTTTCAATCATGTAGATTTTCTTTTGAGGAAGCATTAGATGAAAACCTATTAAATGAAGTGAAAGTATGCAAACTAAATTCTTTCAGTTATGTTACCTCTTCATTTATACACATAGACCAGTTCCCGATATCAAACCAGTGAAAACATCCCTAACATCCATCCATCCATATATGGGTCTTGAATGGTGTAGCAGGAAGGAAGCTGGCCTGACCCTCCTCACTGGGTTCTGGCCCTGGCTCTGCTCCTTCTGACAACAGGAATGTTAGCCTTTGTCACTTTTGTGACTTGGTTTCATCCTTGGAGTTGACTTGTGTAGGTGATGACAAAGCTTCCCTCCGTCTTTGACATTTGTGTGATCCTATTGAGGGAGAAGTAGTGCCTTTCTGAGGGTTGACTTTGCACCATAAACAGTCTACACCAACGCTAGGAAAGTGCTCTTCAGTTTTGGTCTTTGGTTTGAGTTTGGGCTTCATTTTTTAGAGGATTAACAAGATCAAAGACATTTCACTGAGAAGTGCCAGCAGATACAGATGTTTGAATCCCAGCACCTTTTCCTGGTCTTTGCCTGTGTTGTAAAGATCAAAATCTTGGTGGCAAAATGTCAAATAAGAGAGTGACACTACTTAAATCATTGATGTGACACAGAAAGAGGTCAGGGTTGCTTATATTGATGTCACTGTGACAATGATCAGTGAATAATAGTGTTTTTTTATTTTTTGTGACTGATTTTTACAGCATTTGATTTTTATTTTTGTATCCATTTTAACATCCTCATGTACAGCTTGGACATACTTTATTGTTCTTTTCAGCTGTTTAAATGGAATTTAACTGGTTAGGGCTGAGGGAACAGAAGAAAGATGTTAGCTGTTATCATTTGAGAAACTGTAAATCATTTAGAAATAGATCTTTTCAGTTAGACTTTCAATCATCCTCTAAAGCAGGGAAACAACTACTGAGTTAAACCATCGATCCAGAATGTTTCTGAAGTTTGAAAGATGAGTTTTCTGTGGCTACCTGCCTAAGTCATGGTGTTTTTGTTTTTATTTTATTGCTAGATGACTCCTAAATCCAAAAGGAAGAGTATCCATAGCCGAATGCTGCGGCCTGTTTCCAGGGCCTTTGGTAAGTGTTTTGCTGCTGCCAGCCATTTCCCTGGAACTGTGAAGCACCCTCAGCAAGAACCTTAGACCATTTTAGAGATGTTCCTTATGGATACACTGTGTGAGTAAATATTGAGAAAGAGTTAAGTGATCTGTGAATGGCTGTTTGCTGTTCCATGCTAGACTTAAAATGCCTTGTAGGAATTTTTTATCCATCTCTATGCATTAAGCTTCGGCCATGGGCTTTTTTGTTTTTGTTTAATTTTAGAAATGGAGTTTGATCTTGATAAAGCTCTGGAAGAGGTACCAATTCACATCGAAGACCCACCCCTCCCATCCCTCAGACAGGAGAAGCGGAGCTCGGGATTTATCTCTGAGTTGCCCTCTGAAGAAGGGAAGAAGCTGGAACACTTTACCAAGTTAAGGCCAAAAAGGAATAAGAAGCAGCAACCCACTCAAGCAGCGGTAAGTGGGCTGGAGAGGCCTCATCGCTCCCTCACCCTTTTCTTCTCTGGGGAAAGTTGGAGGTTCTTGCTAAAGTGCTTTGCACAAACACGAAAGCTATGGGTAAGGAGACTGGAACCACTTTGCATGTGACATGTGTGTGGTGACTCAGAGATCAGTGGGAAACCTCCTGCCAGGAATGGAAGAACTTTGTGTTGATGAACTGCTGAAACATCAAGGAAGATGATGGACAGCTGAGAAGAGTCCACAGGATATGGTCTGGAGTGACCTTGGGAGGGTGGTTTTGAGGGTGGGTAGATTTGCATGTGACTTGCAAAGTATCTCAACTTGGTGCCCGACAATTTGGGAGAATGAACAGATTGTGTCACTTAAAGAAAAAATAAATAAAACAACATAATTATGGAGAAGACGATGCTGTAAATTTTGCAGTTCTTCAGAACAGAGCTGCCTTTGGAAATCCTTAGATAAATAAGGATTATCTATGATAGGAAATCCTTATTCTTCATAAATGCTAGAGACATTTTTTTAATCTCACCTACATGTCTGAAATCTGACATATGGGTGAGCTACATGTCTCTAGCATTTTACAGTGTCTGGGCAAAAAAGATAGAAGTACCAAAAAAATAATCGTGAATTAAGAATTGTTTGATTCTGGAGTGCACACTTGCATCCCCCCTCCACACTCTGACCTGCTGTGGTCCGTGTGCTTGAAAACCTACAACCTGATGTAACTGAAGGGATGAAGAAGAGCCCTGAGTGGGGGCCCCAGTGTGTGACGATGACATCCTGCTCTTTCTACTTCAGTAGAAGACTCAGTTGTGTGTGCCGATGAGCCTGACTGTAGCACACTCGTGTCTCTCTGGTTAATGCCTTTTCTCTCCTTTATAGCTAAACTTCTTCAGAAAGTTTGCCTGTGCCACCTGTCTCTACTGTCTCTTCTTCACCTTCCCGTCACTCCACATCTTAACCAAAATCTTCCTTCTGTATCTACCCACTCTCAAAACCACCCTCCCAAGGTCACTCCAGACCATATCCTGTGGACTCTTCTCAGCTGTCCATCATCTTCCTTGATGTTTCAGCAGTTCATCAACACAAAGTTCTTCCATTCCCGGCAGGAGGTTTCCCACTGATCTCTGAGTCACCACACACTTCTTTTCCACCCATCTCTCCAGCAGTGTGCTTTCAGTTTTCTTGCCAGACCTTTTAAGTTTTTTATTGTCTGTCTGGGTGGTATCATCTGAACTCATGGTTTTAGTCTCTGTCATTGACTGTAAATTTCTGGATAGCCACTTGCCTCCTAAACTTGAATGAGTACCTCAGGCCCAAAATTTGAAACTGAGATCCTACCTTTCCCTGTAAACCTGCGTTTCTCATAACCCCTGTTTTTCCTGGGGCATGGTCAGCTGACAGGTTAGAGAGCGGAACGTGATCCTGATCAGCGGCTCTCCCTCTTCCTCCTCGCTGCCGCTTCCTCCCGTCCTGAGCTCCAGCCCTCTAATGCTGCAGCCCTTCTCATTGCTTCTTCCCATCTCCTGGTCTGAGGACTTCCTTCGGATTTTGCGCATCTCCACTGCTTCTCCATAACTGTCCACTTCTCTATACTTCTCAGCCCCCTGGTGCTCTGAGGAAAAGCCAGATCTCTTTAGATCTCTGGCCATAAGACATTATTTTGGGACTTACCTTTGTGTTACACAGTCCCTAAGGGAAAACAGCCTAGAGTATGCCAAGCCTGTGAGTCCTGGCTTCAATGTGGACAAAGGTGAAATCTCTCTAGAACAGACCGATGAGGTTGGGACATGTTACCCCAAAATATGGCGCCTTGGCATTTGAGAAAATACAAAAGCAGGAAGGTCATTCTCACCTTCTCCTTGCCTTTCTCCCTTGAGGCAGGTCATAAAAGCATCATTCAAGAAGTGCCCTCCCTGTAGCCAGAGGAGAGAAATGTCCTTATTTCTGAAGGTATGAGGACAGAGGGAAGAATCTGAACCCAACAGGCCTTGCTAAGTGCCCCCAGTTTATTATCATTAGGCCACAGTTGTTTGTAAAGAAGGCAAGACTTCTTCCAGGAAACCCTCCCTACCCATCCCACTGTGTTCCCGCAGAGCGAGGGTCACATGACACCAGGGAAGTTGTTCTCACAGACTAGTTGTGCGCAGTGCACAGCCTGAGCAACTCTCCATGGAGGCCCCGTCTCCTCCAGTGCCTGATGCTTACCCTCACAGCTCTCATCACATAGTGTTTTCTCAGCTTACTCCTTGTCTCTAAGTTCTGTGTAGGCAGGGCCTGTGATTTATTATTCATGGCAATATGCTCAGGGCTTACATTAGGTTTGAAAATACAGTAGGGGTTCAACAATACTTATTGGATAAGTAGGTGGATAGCTGGAGACATAGATGGTTGAGGGTCACAGTAACTTACCTGCTTGGTTGGTAATATCCTCACTTTAGATCAGGCTTTCATTGTGTTTGGTTAATTTCTCTCATTTGAATCCAAAGAGCATGACACAGTTTCAAAATACAAAAAAAAAAAAAAAAAATCTAGTATGTTGTTTTCTAATTTATTAATTTTTAACTTTTTTTAGTGCATTTTAACATATTCTTACAGGAATACACGTTCCCTTAAAACACTTCCATAGATTGATAAAAAGACACCCCGCCCCACAACAACCCACACTTTAGGTTCTAGAATGTTAATAAATGGGTTCTCTATGGCTCTTTCCATATGGAATAAGATTAGCAATACAATTCGTCTGTGAAATGGCTTAAGTTTATCCTTGATAAAACTGGTGATTCATGGAAAGAGATAATCTTGTGTACTTTTTCCCTCTCCCCTCCCCTCCCCTCCCCTCTTTTTCTTTCGAGAATGGGGTCTCACTCTGTGGCCCGGACTGGAGTGCAGTGGCGCACTCCCGCCTCATTGCAGCCTTGAACTCCTGGACTCAAACAATAACAGTCTTCCCACCTCAGCCTCCTGAGTGTCTGGGACTACTGGTGCATACCGCCATGCTTGGCTAATTTTTTAAATAATTTTTTTGTAGAGATGGGGTCTTGGTATGTTGCTCAGGCTGGTCTTAGAACTCCTAGCCTCAAGCTGTCCTCCTGCTCGAGCCTCCCAAAGTGCTGGGATTGCAGGCATGAGCCACCGTGCCAGCATTTCTTCCTTAAATGTTTGAAAAATAGAAAAGAAGGGAAAGAAGCTGTGGCAGAGTCCCATTGGAGGCGCATGCTATATATTGCAAGGGAGAACAGATTTCTTTTCTCACGTATCACCAGGGTTCATGGCTGAAGCACCTGTAGCAAAAGGCAGATTAACAAGAGAGAAGTACAACAAAATGTATTTAATGTAAGTTTTATGTGATATGGGAACCTTCAGAAACGCTGACTCAGGAACGGGAGAAACCTGTGTATTTTTATGCTAAGTTTGATGAAGTGGCTATAGAGAAGTCGGACTTGACAAAGGGAGTATGATCTGATGGTAATAAGCTGGGGGCAGTTAGCAAGGCCTGTTTGTTCAATTCTTCTCTCTTATCCCATGTCTTCAGAGACCTTTCTTTTCTCTGGCTATAGAGAGGACATTTCTTATCTCTGCCAATAGGGAGGACACTTCTTGAATGAAGCTTTTATGACCTGCCTCAAAGGCTGAACAGCATGGGGAAGACGAGAATGACCTTCCTGCTTTTGCTATTTTCTCGAATGCCAAGGCACCGTATTTTGGTGTTTCATGTCTCAGCCTCATCAGTCTGTTCTAGAGAGATTTCACCTTTGTCCACATTGAAGCCAGGACTCACAGGCTTGGCATACTCTATGCTGTTTTCCCTTAGGGACTGTGTAACACAAAGGTAAGTCCCAAAATAATGTATTATGGCCAGAGATCTAAAGAGATCTGGTTTTTTCCCAGAGCACCGTTGGACTGAGAAGTATAGCTTAGCACACCTTTACTTGGATTCATAGTGAAAATATATTACCTTATGATATCACCCTGCTTACAATTTCCAAAGTGCTTTCATGTCTAACGGCCCTGTGAAGCTGCCACACAGACACCATTATTTAAATTTTTCAGGTAAGAATGAGGAGGTTGCGGCTTACCTTTATTACTAATGTTTAGTAAGAGCAATTATTAACAGTCATTGTTGTTTTTCTTCTTAGCATTGAGTAGAATCAGTTCATCCACAGTCTGTCTTAGCTTTTCTGTAGTTCGTCCCTGAACCCCAATGCCTCAAATGAACTTTTCCAGCTGTCAGAATTCTCAAAGCCAAGGCTAAGTTAAATGCCAACATGCCAGTTTCTTCTAGGGCAAACATGGTGTTGTAATGACCGATTTTTGTGCCAAAAATGTACCAATAAGTATTTATGTAAATATGAAGAGTAGATAACCCATTTAAAAAAAAAGAAACTAGGCACAAAAATTTAACCTTGGATGAGACCACAGTCATTTTAAGGACAATGGATATAGACATTTTAGTTATATGTTTTAATTCCACCTCTGCCACTCCAAAAATGAAAACAAAAGATTTTTTTTAAATAACAAGAGATAAAATGTTTCTTTCTTTCTTTTTTAAATTAAGTGGGTGAAAGAATTTTTAAACATTACATTATAGCTGCTTAGCCCATAGAATTTAACTTTCTACTGTAGTAGTAAGAGTAGGGTGTGTAAGACCACGCAGCCGCTGGGCTCTTCCACTCCCTGGACGTGTGTATCTGGACAAAGGCATGTGGTTTTTTTTTTTTTTAAAGCCTGAGCAAACTTTTTTCTTTTTTTTTTCTTTTTTTTTTTTTTTTGAGACGGAGTTTCGCTCTTGTTACTCAGGCTGGAGTGCAATGGCGCGATCTCGGCTCACCGCAACCTCCGCCTCCCGGGTTCAGGCAATTCTCCTGCCCCAGCCTCCTGAGTAGCTGGGATTACAGGCACACACCACCATGCCCAGCTAATTTTTTGTATTTTTAGTGGAGACGGGGTTTCACCACGTTGACCAGGATGGTCTCGATCTCTTGACCTCGTGA